CTTTCAAAATCCATCGTCGCATTTGAGAGTTACGGTAAGGCAGAATAAGAAAGAAAAAGAGTTGCCATGCGTTCAACGTGCATCCTAATATTGTGAACGCAATACACCACACAATGATGTTTAGAGAGCTGTTATACGAACAAGAAATAGTCATTTATTCAGTGAGCAGCAGCGTACACAATTTTAAGTTTACTTCTGCAATTGAACATTGTGGGTAACACGTCTTTTGCAGCTACTGAGAAATCTGGAGACTAAGCCAACTCTTCAAGTTTATTATACTTAATCAATAATTACATTCGAAGAGACCTTTACACACAATTAGAAGTAGTATTATGACGAAGTGCATATTCTGGATAGGTGCCCATTGAAAATAGCCAATATGACCACGTATTCAGATTCAGTACAGTGATAAGAATGCATGCCACGTTCAAAAATATACCACAGGAGGCCTTAATAAGGAGACTTGTGATTGTGTTGGCTCACCCCTCCGAATTTCGAACCCACCATGTCGAGCATGCTCATAGCACCAGATTCGTAAACGATAGCGTTAGGAGGAGATGCCATCGGAAACATGAAAGCATACGATGGACCGACCGCAGCTGCCAGCGAAAGGTAAAGCGGATGAACTTTCATCCTCATTGCCTAAGCAAAACAACAAAAGGCTAAGATTTTTTTAACAAGAACATTAAGGACTTGCTTGAAACTCACGACTTCGAATACAATAGGTAGAATGATACTAGCTGTAGCCGTATTCGTACAAAATTCTGTGATAGTTACTGCCGAAATGCTGACGATGACCTGAATAGAATCCCAAGGTTTGATATATAGGGAACAAAAATACTCACCTGCATGGCAGGGTGTGGAAGGCTTGAAAGTAACGATTCTAGTCGGCATGCCAAGAAAGTCGATAAACCACTTTCCTAAATGGAGAATTGTAAAAGAAGACTTTGAAATAAGCACTGAAAATAATTGGGGAGTTTCGTAAGTTTTCGGTGCCACTATTTGTTTGCGGTGAAAAAATATACTAACCGAAAAACTCGGCCACTATCTAAGATATACTACTTTTTTCATAATAGCAGCCGCAAGTGATCACAGTGACGCGTTGACGAGTCGTTTTCTTTATGCTTTTGTTGCAGCTGAATTGAAGAAGAAAAAGCTGCAGAAGTTGACATAGTCCTTGCGCTGGAATGAGCGTTACATCTCATTTCCTTTACAAAGTTAGCCTCGCATTTAGCAAAATACTTATTGTTAGTATTATTAACTTAATTACAATCTGGATCAGGAGTGTGGACTGGCACGCCATACCTGGGGGGTCGTATCAAGGAAGAAAGACGAGGGTTTCGTAACTGATGTTGCTGTTGTTAAAAGCGTATATTCCTCAACAGAAAAGATGTTATGCAGAAGCACTCTGCGATGTTGATCCTACCGTATACCGTTACTATTTACCAAGCATAATGAGTGCCATTTTTGTATTATACAGGGTGTCCCAAAAAATGTGCCTACTGTTTGATTGTGAATAACTCTACTGTAATGAAGTGTTTAGAAAAGCTTTAGGTAACCTTTTGTAGAGCGAGATTAAACTTAGATTTATAGTATAAAGCGAGTCATATCGCTCTTCATTATTGTAAGATTATGGTAAGAACTTCCAGCATATGGCACCATTGTGAAATATACCACCTAACAAAATTTTTTTCAAAAAATCTGGAAAATCGTACACTAGGATTTTCGCCATGCTGATTCCATCCAACAACTTTTTATGAGTGTTTTCAGCTTTTTGGACGGTGCAATTACATTTCTGACAAATGCTGGGAATTGGGTTATTACGATTTACCGGGGATAACTTAGGAAAGAAACATCACAGTAAAATGGGAATTTCAAATTCGAAATGAGCGGCTCAAATTAACGTAGTGTAAAAGTTTTCGCCTTGTTTGGTTTTGTTCTGAGGCAGAATATAGCCTCCAATGGCCTAAAATCCTTGTCGAAGTTCGTACCGTAATCTTACAGTAATGAAAACCGATCGATGATCGCACAATACTGCAAGTCTAAGTTCAACCTCGCTCTACAAAATGGTTCCTAAAGCTTCTCGAAACACTTTATTACAAAAGAGTTATTTACAATCAAACAGTAGGCACATTTTTTGGGACACCTTGTGTAATAAGTTAGCATGTGAAATAGCCCGCTAGATAAAGCCCACCCCCTATTCAGATAATCGCCGGGGGTCAGCAGAATTTTGGGGCGTGGCCAAACCCCAGCGGGCTGCACTTCCCTTACGGTCGCATATTCTGCCAGCAAGCAGCAGTACAGCATTTTTTGCAAGCGCTTGGCAAATAATTTCTTTCAGCGAGCGTGGCCAAACTTTCAGCAAGCGCTCAGACTCTTTTCACGCAGTTTCGGGCGTACGCCGAGAAAAGGTGAAACTCTGTGCGGCAGGTGTCTTCGATGGTTCGATTACCAAGTCAAGTTTGGGGTACCTCCCCCCAACGGAAGGTACCCCGGGCAATGCCGTGCTCCACAAAGGACCGCGCGCCCCCAACAACCCCGCACACCCTCGCGGAAAGACCGCGAGAACGCGGCCACTGGGCCGCAATCGATCCACAGAAAGACCGCGATAGTTTCCCGAGCGTTCGTCCAAAACTTGGCCAAATTATTGCAAATTTCTGCAAGCGGACCGCAAGAAATCAGCGAACTATTTTCCGGTGCCCGCTTGCTCAAAATTCCCATGGCTGCCTGCCTCCGGCGATTATCTGAGTAGTTGCTGTCTTAATAAGCCCCCCCCCCCTCCTGAACTACTGCGTATCTAAGATAGGCATGAGTAACTCGAAAGCCCTATCAAGCATAGGGAATACATTTATAATTGCATGTCAAATGACCGCTGTGTGCCAAGTTTGAGGGAGTTCTGAGGTCTCGAAATATTAGGTTACCCAATGAGAGGGTCATTTTCAAACGTAACTAACTTTGTTTCAAAAGTGAATTAGCGACGTGTTTTGGCACTCATTACAAAACACTACTCCCTCTGCCCTCAGAGATTCTGCTTCAAAATACCTCCAATCTGTGGAGTAAGAAGTCAACTAAAATCTCGTTTTTCTCATCTTCCGCTTTTGGTGGCTGTACTTTCACCCATTATTGCAAGGCAAAAAAGACAAATTAAGCTCAAATAGCTCCTGTGTAATCTGCGAGGTCATGTAAAAACAGTTTGTCGACTCATTTAAATACAGTTCGTCGCTGAAAACTTTTTCATGACGTAGTTAATGAGTTGTGCCAGATACAGATACCTTTAACTTACTTTGAAAAACAGCTTTAGCAAGTAATGTTTATATGGTTCAATAGAGTAAGTCTCGTAAATTACACAGGAGTGATTTGAGCTTGATTCCCTTCTTGTTTTGAGTGATAGTTGGTGAAAGCACAGCTATCAAAGGGTAAAAATGAAGAAAACGAGATTTTTGTTGGCTTCTAATTCTGCAGTTTGGAGGTATCTTGAGAGCATCTTTGAGGGCAGAAGAAATAGTAATGAGGGTAAATTTGTAATGCCCAAACGGGGTCGCTAGTTCACCTTTGAAACGAAGTTTATTATGTTGAATGACCATTTCACTTGGGTAACCTGAAATTTGGAAACCTCAAAACTTGCTGAAACTTGGCCCACAGAGGTTATTTGACATGCTAAATACGAAAATGATGCTTTTATGCTTTTAGGGCCTATTGTTATGCTTACTCGTGTTCGTAAACATCAATATACTAGGCTGATTCAAAAGTACATAATTTTTTCATTTTTTCATCGCGATTTTTTCATTTGAAATCTTATAACTTTTTTCGAAACCAACAATTTTGAACAGATTAAATCTTGTTGAATTAAACGAGTTTATGACTGTCACAAGCACTTTATGCCATGTAAAGAAGGCTAGCGAGAGAGAAGAGAGAATTTTTCGAAATCTGCAAGGTTTTCTTAAAAACCGCCCAGTTTGACTTACTATTGCTTCCATATGAGGATGAACAGACATATTTGGTTGCCATCATTGAGTAGCCTATACTTCAAAGATTCTTCTGCGGCTCAAGAGAGTTCGAGTTATTTTTATTGCATAGAAATTTGAAAGCAAATTAAAAAGCGCCATTATTTGAGCCCTCCTCTGCGCGCGACTTTCTAATATTTGATTTTTTCTTGCTGTCGCAAATGAAAAAAGCCAATTGGCTAACGGTTCCTGCTTGCCCTCGCTTTACTCTAACATATACAATATTGAATGTACACATGTCGCTATATGTAGATTGTTGTCGCTTGTTGAATAACTGGGTTTGACTTCCATTTTTGAAAAAAATTGGAAAAGTAAGACATTTTCTACGCCGGAGAAAAAGTGTGCTTATGTCTTACACCCTCAACCATTATAAATTATCATATATTTAGTTTTGCGAATACTGCGGAAGTTCCCTTTCATGAAAACTTTTTCTTGGGCATGACTGCATTTTGGCAAGTTTGCTTCGGGGTTCAAAATTTCATCACAGGAAAGTGTTGATTCGCCAAGCATCAGTAAGCACTAGAAAGAGCAAGAGAAGTGCTTTTAGACAAAAGCCTAAGAAAACAGCTGCGTTAAAACAAGGCAATTGAAAATCGCACAAAACCTTTGAATCAGCCTAATATTAGTATTTGGCCAATGGGCTTATCTGACATTGTTGACGAATATCATGTTATTGCTAACATCAGTGTCACCTCGATAACGACCCTCCCTGACCGATCAGTACGACCCCGGCGTGCCATACCCTACGCTTGAACCTGATTATGATGTTCAGGCAAAGAGAGATTTACCGTTCGCTACTTTGGTCTAACACCATGCCTTGAGTTTTTCATGAGTAGGTGACATTAAGAGAAAGATTGGAGCAGAGTATAACAAAACCAAGAAATATGACAGCTTGATCACTTTATATCCGTTAAAAAAAAGTTTTTGCGTCATCAACTATGTCAAAACCTATGAAAAGCGTAAACTTACTTTTACACTTTCAGCTATCGCAAATCCGGACCCAAGAAGCAAAATGACAGACCACGGAAATCGTTGCCTTACTGCGTCCCAGGTCAGAATTGCCTCACGTTTTGTAGATGGACGACTGCGTTCTCAATATTTATTCATTTGTTGATAAGTAAGTGGAAGATGAATGGTAGTACCAGATTTGGGTCGAAGAAGAAAAAAGTCGGGCAATTCTCTCGGCCATACGAATAATATAAATACAGCAAATATTCCAGTACAAGCATCCGTGACGTACCCTCTGAAACCGCATCATGCTGTCAGATAAGAGGTTTGTAATATTTTCGTAGTTACTGACTGTTTGAAAAGTGCTGCCCATCCGTCAAATAGTTTGGGATCTCTTGTTATCCACGATAAAATTGTCAACATGAATATAGTTAGCGTTGAAATTTCAGCAAAACTGAAGAAGACTAATACAATTGAGTGTCAGTATTTACTAACTTTGTAGAAGAAAAAATGCATCCAAGCCTGAGAGAATACTTAAGACTTACGTTATGTTGCCAAGTTCAATGTATGCAGTATCTACTGCTTTCTTTACGTGCTTTTCATCAATTTCTTCTTCATCGGTTGGCTTAGCGAATACTCTCAAGACATGGCGAAATCCGACAAATTGTAGCTGAAATAAACGATGATGGACTTGTGGAATAATCAAGAGTGTATTTGCAATTTGAGAAATTGCTACTAGTATAAGGCAGCAAGGCAAGCAACGTAAGTCGGGCTAGCGTGTTCTCGTCTTCATAAACTGGGCATCTTCTCATCCGTATTTACATACCTTTACCCAGCCAGATACAGTGACCGCCAAAAAGTTGCGGACAAGCCGCTCTCCTTTTTTCATCGCTCATTTCTAGATGGAAAACAAAGATGAAAAAATGATTTGATTGCATGTGGTGATAGAGCTCATCAAGAGCTACAACCCACGCATCGCGCTTTCTGGAAAACATGTATTATAAAAATTTTAAAAATGCTTTTCTGAAAAAAGTCCGAAAATGGACGCGTCACAATTTCGCGGACATTAATTCTTCGAACGCGAAAATTTTCTTTTAGGTCTTTTCTTGGGGCAAAAACAAAAGTTTTCCGGACAGGTAAGCATAGTATATTGCAGAACTTATCGAGGACAATAATATGGTAGTGATTACTTTCAAAAAAAAACAAGCTTGAATTTTATTTTGCTTCTTTTCAAAAAATAACTTCTAATTCCCTGTTTCAAGCCAAATTTCTTCACATGGAAACCCATTCAAGACATCCAAACGAAGCTATTCGGATAAAATGGATGCCCTTTATTATCTTCTATGCATCGGACGTGTGCTGGAGAGTTTTTTTTGTCAAAAATGGCTCTTGACAGTGCGTGCACATGACCCCACCTGCACCTCACCACTAACTTGCACCGCTTTGCAGGCTTGTAACTCAGCCGGCAGTCAATCTACGAAACTGCAAGTAGGCTCATTCGAAAGAGCATGACTTGCTGGACATGATGGTATGCAAAAGAGTTGGGTATGACAAACAGCGGAGAAATGGCGGATGGGGTGTCAAAGCGCAGCTTCAGTGGTAGGCTAAGGATTTTTCAGCTAAAGTTAGAAAGGACTCTTTTCGCTACCAATTTCATCCTAGGAGTTCAAAACTGTCAATTTTCGTGCAATAGATCCATTTCGGAGCTCTACGACTGTTCTTGTGTTGATGGGAGCCTTCACTCCATTTATCTCCAGTGCTGCGCTTTAACATCCCATCCGCCATTTCTCCGCTGTTTGTCATACCCAACTATTTTGCATACCATCATGTCCAACAAGTCATGCTCTTTCGAATGAGCCTACTTGCAGTCTCGTAGATTGACTGCCGGCTGAGTTACAAGCCTGCAAAGCGGTGCAAGTCAGTGGTGAGGTGCAGGTGGGGTCATGTGCACGCACTGTCAAGAGCCATTTTTGACAAAGAAACTCTCCAGCACACATCCGATGCATAGAAGATAATAAAGGGCATCCATTTTATCCGAATAGCTTCGTTTGGATGTCTTGAATGGGTTTCCATGTGAAGAAATTTGGCTTGAAACAGGGAATTAGAAGTTATTTTTTGAAAAGATAAAATTCAAGCTTGAGTTTTTTTGAAAGTAATCACTACCATATTATTGTCCTCGATGAGTTCTACAATATACTATGCTTACTTGTCCGGAAAACTTCTGTTTTTGCCCCAAGAAAAGACCTAAAAGAAAATTTTCGCGTTCGAAGAATTAATGTCCGCGAAATTGTGACGCGTCCGTTTTCGGACTTCTTTCAGAAAAACATTTTCAAAATATTTATAATACATGTTTTCCAGAAAGCGCGATGTGTCGGTTGTAGCTCTTGATGAGCTCTATCACCGCATGCAATCAGATCATTTTTTCATCTTTGTTTTCCATCTGGAAATGAGCGATGAAAAAAGGAGGGCGGCTTGTCCGCAACTTTTTGGCTGTCACTGTATATGGTGGATTTTTTGCGACCTTACGTCTTGACACACCTTCAAAAGCTTTATTACATTGATCGCAATGACCAAACATTTACAGTGCTGCCGTCGCAATCGTGAAATAATGATATCTTCAAAATTTATTCACCATATTTTTCTTTCTCGATGAGATTTAGAGCGAAGTTGCTTGAATTTATTGATCTGTTGTTGGCGATTCAGATATAAGATTAAGGGCTCATAGGCGAAGCATAGCCCAACGTGACAACAAAAAGCACAAGCTCATTCCAACTTTTTGGCGAGATGAGAAAAAACTTCTTCATTTGCGCGCTTTGGGTTGTTTCAGACTGCCGCACTGACCGCAGCAGACTGCAGCAGACTGTAGCTGACCGCATTGACTGCAACGGCCGCAGCAGCTGAAGCTTACAGATGAGAGGATAAATAGTTGTGGATCAAACAAATAGCAACAGTGTATACCTAAAAGAAAACGACAACACGGGCTAGAATGTTATAAAACAGCTATATGCAATGATAGGGGGGAATTAGAACAGATACAAATATACCAAAGAAAAACTATCGCCAAAGTTTGATTGAGAAGAATTGTAATGGAACTTATGATCTTCTTAGGCGTAAATCAGTGTTTGATAATCGCGGTTGTTTTTTCTTCTACGAAAGAAGGCAGCGACGGTGCAGTTAGTGCGGTCAACTGCAGTCTGCTGCAGTCAGTTGCGGCCAGTGCGGCAGTCTGACACATCCCTTTGGAAGTCTTTCATCAGAAACTTGTAAGTCTCGTTTTCATAAAAGCTTGGTATTTGTCATATGTACAAATTTCTATTGCTGCCGAACAGGACTGAAAAGCGGTCCTTTCTTCCTCCTAATCACGGTCTACGTTTCGAAGCTTTTCGTCTTCCTCAGACGGAAGACCACCGCTGCTCGAGTAGCCTGTATCGACGATAGACAGTCGCGACAAAAGAGTCTCGCCTGACGAGTCAGCAGACGAGTCTCTTTGTTATTCCACTGATCTAAGAAACATCGACGTATGCTAGATTTTAGCAAGAAAACACATAAAAAAGCATTACTATGGGGCATCAAGGTGACAAAAAATATGCATAGCAATGACAATCCTTTGCGCTACTACCTGCATTAGAAAATTTTGCATAGAAAAAAAGGATGTCTCTAGCATTTCTAAATCCGCATCTAATTGCTCATGCGTTGTTCTTAAGTACTCCGGCAAGACGGGCACACGACGCGGTGACGGTTACGTCAAATTGGATGCTGCCGCATGCAACATGCGGTAACCACGGCTTCGTATTCCCGGCCCCTATGCTTGAGACAGGTCAACCCACTTGCAACTTTGGACGCGGAATAAACAGTAATCAATTGTAAACTGGAAAGCGATTTGAAACTTATTACATCATATAGACTCATTTATGCCTCAGAAAGAATAGAAAAAAGTGTTTGATCTCTTACTTAATAAATTTTGAACGCACACTATGTCTATGCAGATATTACTTGATAAAATTTTGAACGCTCACTATGTCTATGCAGATAAATGCAGAAGTTGTATAGATTTCTCAATCCTCAAGGTCCGAGACGATCCAGTTGGTTTGGTCCGGAATCCAACAGATATGAGAACAGATATCACGGGACGACATTTTCGGACTTTTCAGATAATGTTGTTTTCAGAAATATCATGTGGCTATGGTCCATAGTTGGTAACATGTTATTTCTGCCAAGTTGGTAGCACTTCATCTGTCCATCATCAGCCATCTGTTTATTTCAGCATCATCTTGAATTTCGCACCTTGTAAGAAATTATTTGGAGCTTCGCAGTTATGTACCAAATTAGTGAAGTAAGGAAGCATGTCTGGATGTCGAGCATGTATGTCAACATGTTATACAATATCGCTTCTGCTATTTGCCTCAAAAAAGAAATTTTGCCAATTTGGATTTAGCAATCCACCTACTTAGCGCTTACGGAAATCGCGCTAAAAATTTGGTGCGACTGTGAAGCAGCTCGATCGCTGATGTGAGTAATCAACCATGATGCTGTCATGCAGAGGATCATCAGGTATTGCAAAAGCCATCCATAGAGGAGAACGGTTTAATGTCAATATAGCCATATGTAAAAGAAAGAGAAAGAGAAGACAAAACCTTAATATGTTTTTGCGCATACAGTTTCGGGGCTACGAACTAGACAAGATATGCGACCTTTCTTGGTGCCTCCTCAGATAATCGCCGGGGCAGGCGACCATGCGCGTTATGGGCAGGCGGGCACCGGACAAATAGTTCGCTGATTTCTTGCGGTCCGCTTGCAGATATAATTTTGGCGAAATTTTGGGCAAATGCTCGAAGCAACAGCGGCTCTTTCATAGAATAATTGCTGCGCACTGGCCGCATTCTCGCGGATTTTCCGCGAGGATATGCAAAATTATTGAGGTCCGCACAGTCCTTCGTGAAGGACCGTACAGCCCGTGGGTACCTTCCGCTTAGAGAAAGTACCCCAAACTAGGATAATTAACCAATCGATGACACCCCTGTTATGTAAAGCTTTACCTTTGCTCGGCATACTCCCGAAACCGCGTAAAAAGAGTCTGAGCGCCTGCTGCAAGTTTGGCCCGCTGAAAGGATTATTTGACGTGCGCTTGCACAAAATTTTGTATTGCTGCCCGTTGGCAGAACACGGAAAAACCGCTCGCTGAAGGTTTGACCACGCCCCAAAACTTTGCTGACCGCTGGACCGGCCTCTCCCTGGCGATTATCTGAGTCCGTGTCAAACGCTTTCGTTATTAGTTCCCAAGGAAGTGATTGTGCCAACTTCCAGCCCCGTAGCTCAAATTTTGCAAAAAATCGATAAAATCGATATCGATCCATGACGAAAAGTAGCCTGACACCCGCCGGGGCCCGAAGTGTATGTGTGCCAAGTTTGGTCCGGATCGGTTCAGTAATGGAATTTTCTATTCGGAACATACGTACACACAGACATACAGACATGACAAACAGACATTCAGCTTTATATATAAGAAGATTATGTAGGTGGGGTCTACTCCTTGATCGATCAAACCTTTTAAAACGGCGTTGATTTCCACACTATCGAAAGCCTTTTCGTAGTCGATAAGGTGAGGACAGGGGTAGTTGATAATCCCGACAGACCTCCACGACCCTTGTGACGGCTTGGATGTGATCGATGCAGCTGAATCCTCTATGGAATCCAGCCTGTTCAGATGATTGTGTTTCATCCAACGTCGTCGAGATGCACGACAGATGATCTTTGAGAACAGCTTGTAAAGCAGGCTGAACAAGCTTGGTCGGTAATTCTTCAGGTCTTCTCTCCCGCCTTTCTTGTGTAGGAGGATCGTGCGGGATGTCTTCCATTGATTCTTTCCTTCTTCAGCTAGTCCGTCATATGAGTTGCCAGTAAACCAGCAGCTTGCGACCGCTGGCTCTCTATACATTTGCGGTGATTCCATCGGGTCCAGGAGCTGTGCCTGGTTTCATGCAGGCTATGGTGCGCGTAGTTCTGAAGGAAGGATCCTTGGCAGTTGTTCTCCAGTGGGAATGACAGGATCAGGTACTGGCGATGTGGACATAGGGAGTTCACTGTAGAATTTTTCCGTTACCGCTTCCATTTCGCATCGAGAATTTACTAATCTTCCGTCTTTACTCAGTAGAGCTTGTATTGGTAGTTCGTGTTCTCTTCGACACTATACAGACTTTTTCTGTTCTGTGCTACCTTGAGCAAATTCATCTGTCGTATTGTTTCAGATCCTCTTGTACTGCTTTTCTGCAAATGTTGTTAAGCAACACTTGCTTTAGATGTGGCAACTTAAGTCTGCGTGCAGCCTTCTTTTTTCCTGTAGAAGTTTCTTCGTGTTGTTCGTAAGCCGCCCACTACCTCTTTCCACGTTAGAGCTGGCTGCTCAGCGCAACTGCGTAGTCCTTCAATCAGCTTTCTTAGATCTTCTGTTGGATCATCGCGTTCCTTCCAGTTGTATCTGCCAATGGCGTTCTATAGAATGTTTTCGTCGTACACGGCTTCTCTTCTATGCTTTGAGCAATAAGAGGATTTTTTTTCCTCCTCTGATTTATACGGATCTTCGAATCGAAATTGAGTTCTCTTAAACTTTTTTCTTTTTCTTAAACTTTCTTCGATTCTTAAACTTCAAACAGCCTTGTAAAAAAATTTTTCCGAGGGCAAGGCTGACACCACATCCCCTTTTACCAGATCTCAAGGGTCGAGGACCCGCAAAAACTTTGAGAGTATCCCAAAAACTTTTCGAAGTGCGTGGTTAACGTCATGCATCTTCACTGGAAAATTTTTTTAACTCCCCGGTCCGACTGGGATCGTCACTGTCATATAGGTATATATTACTATTTCTTTCCGTTATTTGCTTTCTAATGAAAGAATATTCCATGTATTTTAACGTAATATCTGCTATTTTTGGACTACAGGACGCCTCTTGTGGTATTCCTCTAGCTTGTCTGTACATCTTCCTTGCGGAATATATGTAGCTATATATTCCAATAACACATGTAACATGTTAATGTGTACTCTACCTAGTGATACTTACCTCAATCCTTCGCTTCATTGGAGTATTGAACCTTACGGTTGGAGAGTTTGAAAACTTACATCTTTTCTTGCATGATAAAATGAAGTTCCTAAAGGCAGTGGCTCAGCAAAACCGAACATCTCGAAATTTTCATATGGAAGGTTACTTGCATCCCAAACACGAGAATGGAGCAAGTCCGAGCGCACAGCATGCAACCCCTGCCTAGAAAATTGCCCCTAAACCCGTGCGCGCAAGCCATTCTTACATGCACTCGGACGAGCTCGCGATATCTCTCACGCTGTCAGAGGCGGCATGCTGCAATGCTTTAAACATGTGGGTTCCACAACGACTCTGCGCTTCTAACCATGGCAGGGAGCGTTCCACTCATTCAAATTCAAAATGAGGAGGCTTGCAAAATGCTGGTTTTCGCCATTTTTGCGTTGTAAAAAATGATTTTCCGAAATTAGCGCGTCGAATTACTTCAGATAAGCGAAAAAAGCAAACGACGATGTGCCGAGCCACTGTCTTAAAGGACGGTTCTTACGACATTACGAGGTAGACTCGTGAATAGGTTAGAAAAATCTATCGAGTAGATTTCCAAATGATCAAATGTTACTAACAAGTTCCTGTACGACTTGTCTACTGTTAATAATCGCCCAAAAGTGCTTAACATTTGATTTCTTAGCTTTGCCCTTTTGCTCATATCTTCCGACTTCTAACAAGAGCGTGTTAGTAGTCCATGGTATTAACTTTTGTTAGATTGACTATTTTTGCAATTAAATTACGCGCTAACTCATTCAACACCTTAAAAACATCATTTTTTAAAGTCTGTGATGTATTCTATACTACCTTTTCTGTGTAACTTTTAACTTTGCTAGCTTATTGTTAGTATCTTATATATAAAGCTGAATGTCTGTCTGTCTGTACGTATGTGCGGAATAGAAATTTTTATTTCTGAACCGATTCGGACCAAACTTGGTACACGTAATCGAACATGCTGATCACCCCCGTGGGGGTGATCAGCATGTTCGATTACCCCCCTGTGCAAAATCCCAGCCCCGTAGCTCAAAATTTGCAAAAAATCGGTGAAATCGATATCGATCGATAACGAAAAGTGGACTATGACACGCTCCCTGCCCCGAAGTGTATGTGTGCAAAGTTTGGCCCCGGGCGGAGCCGGGTTTGCCATCTAGTCTTCTATAATATCAAGTTCACCCGCACATATGTGCTTCAGATTACTATCAGTGAATGCTGGGTACCTATCACACACGCATGGATTAATTTCTAGATTTCTTACGTTGTTAGTATCTAGTTTTTTTTCAAAAGCAGTTGTAATTGCATATTTGTACTCCTATAGGTTTATCCAATACATACCTGATAAGAAACTAGACTTTTTCAACTTTATCTGCTTGCTGCGTATATCGGATTAGGGTTTCTTTAACCGCGCTACAATAATATTAGGTGGGTCCGAAAATTCTTGCCGTTTTTAGACCTATTCCAAAATCTTTCAAAATGAAGATGGACAAATCCTTTAAACAGTATCCGAAGCAGAATTTCTTCCTCTTTTCAACAACTATGTTTTCGTTGTGAATGTTTCAAGGAACGCTGAGATAATTGCCAAAAAATAGAATCCTTCATTTTTACCATGTCCAACTTTCGCTAATTTTCAGAATCTTCATTCTAGACTTTTGGAGGTGCTTTAAAAACCTTCTGATAAGTCAAACCTTAATGCAATTTTTTGCATTTTTTCATCTTCCTCTTTAGAATTTTGCTGAATTATTTTACCAAAGCATTGAATTTTGAAAAAATCGCTTGACACATAATTGCACCAAGCACTGCGAAATCCTCAATATTGAAGTTCTAAAGCTAGATTATTACTATCACTAGTATTACGCAGTAAATGAGCGATTACGGCGTAAAAATGGATAGGTTTTGAAATTTTGACTACACCCTTGCGCACCCGTAAGATTGGGAAGTACAGCGATTTTGTTTGCAAAAGTCGCATGTTTCGCGAAGAAAAGCTAGCTATCAGAAAGAGGAGGAAAAGATGCATCGAAGGGTACCTAAACTGTTCACGTCCGATGTTCTGAGAAGTTAGAATGAGCCAAATATAAAATTTGGTCCCTTCAGAAAAAGTATTTCAGTAGTTCTAGAAAGCATGCCAGAGAGATGCAGAAAATTGCATAAATTTGAAAAAGGTTTATTTTATTAGAAGGCACTTAAAGCTCCATCAAAGCCTAAAATGAAAATTCTAAAAATTAGCGAAAGTTAGACATGGTAAAATGAAGAGTTCTAGATTTCGGCAATTATCTCAGCGCTCATTGAAACAGTCACAAAGGAAACATAGCTGTTGGAAAGAGGAAGAAATTCTGCAGAGAACACTTTTTAGAATGTCTGTCTCTTTTTATTCTGAATGATTTGAGGGCAGGTCTAAAAAATGGCACGTACTTTCGGAACCATCTAATATTTTGGACTAGGATCCTCCTAACCGCGTTACAAATGCATATTTTACGAAGAATTTTTCTAAAATTTCACCTAGATAAGATATCCTAGTTGGCAATTGCACAGGGTGCACCAAAAATGTACCTACTGTTTGAATGCTAATAATTCTGCTGTAATAAAGTCTTCCGACAAGCTCTAGGTACCATTTTGTAGAGCTGGTTTCAACTTAGATTCACAGTATAGAGCGAATCACCGACCGCCTTCATTACTGTATGATTACGGTAGAAACTTGAAACATATGGTGTCACTGTAGAAAAAGCTACCGTTTCAAAATCTTCAAAAAATGCGAAAACTTGTGTGAGGGTTTTTATGGACGCTCAGTTTTCACCGTAATCCTACAGTAATGAAAAAAGGTGGGTGATTCCTTTAATACTGTAAATCTAAGTTGAAGCTAGCTCTACAAAATGGTACCTAAAGCTTTTCGAAAGACTTCGTTACATGAGATTCATTAACAGTCAAACAGTAGGTACATTTTTTGGGACATCTTGTATATTTTTTATATTTTCTTTGATGTCTCTAATTTAAAGAGGATGTGCTAGAAGAGTTAGTATTTTGTATTTGTGCTCAAATTGCAAGTTGTGGATTGAGAGGCAAACGTATAGTCAATCAATCCATTGATATCGTTTTTATTTAAAGTTTGAAATATAAAGCGCGTTGCTATGAGCTCATTCATTCTGGTAACAATGTATTTAGTTCTATCTACGCATAGCTTTTTTTTCCTAGACCTCCTTTTCCTCCTTCACTTTTCAGTTTCAGCATCATCTTAAATTCAGCACCTTGTAAGAAAATGTTTGGAGGTTTTCGGCTGTACACCAATTTGGTGGTGAAGCAAGGAAGCATGCTTGAATGTCGTGCATGTGTGTCAACATGTTTTACAATTTCGCTTTTGCCTTTTGCCTCAAAGAAAAGATTTCTTCAATTCAGATTTAGCAATTCACTTACTTAGCGCATACGGAACTGGAATTGCGCTAAAAATTTGTTTCGTTTATTGAGCGGCTCCGCTGACCTGAGTAATCAACCATGATGCTGTCATGCAAAGGATCATCGGAGGTATTGCAAAAGCCATCCATGACAGGTAGCTGATACCCGTGTCTTCTTCGGGAAAATATCTAAACAAATAGATGGGCTCATACTTACAGAATACTTCTTACTTTCTTCAATCATATGACTTGAGGCTTACTCGGAAAGAGTAGATTTGAAGATGAGATTCGGTGCTGTTGAGTTGAGCGTGCCAGTGCCACCAATCAGAGATGCATGAGCAACAATGAGCATCAGACTTTTACAAATACCTGCTCAGAAAGAGAGGAATGTTATGAAACGATGTTGAACAGTAGAGCCTACCGCGGTCTTTCTTGGACAATCTTGAAAAATCCAATCTTTCTGGCTTGTGTCTAAAGTAGGCAAAATTAGAACCTATAAGCTCAGCTTTATACACAGGGTGCAAAAAAATATTGGGCAGGGCATGAGGACACTACAACAAAACAAAGTGAGAGAAAGGGGAGGGGGGGGGGGGGAAAGGAGCAGGTAGAAATAGGAGATTTTCTGTTGCCGTGAACTTTATGGAATACTTGGCGCTAAATTTCACGGCACCGATGAGATTCCAAAATCGCGTCAGGTTTCACATCATTTACAAATGCTGCGTTCTCTCTCGTCCCCTTTTACCGCATGTGTTCTGCATATATTCCCTTATTGCACTCAAACTTATCACAATCAACATCGTAAGCAAGCTTAAAACTCGTTTCTGCATCGCATCCTAGTCAAATGTGCTACATATGTGCTGTATTAAGAGGATTTTGTAAAAGTATTAAAAGTGTTGAATTCGTTTTCGAATAGGCTAGAAAACGACGTGTCCGGACACTGACGTCAACGCTTTATCTAAGCCTATTCAGCAATTAGCCTTCTCAGTCTGCCCCAATCCCAATCAGGCCAAAATTGGCATGGTGGGAGTCCGCGTCGCAAAGGTTTTACGTCACGCCTACGGCCTGCTTGCCTGCTCTCTCTTTGATCTCTTCACTCCATTCGACAGTGCGCGTATGCAGCGCAAAAGTAGTGGCGCTGCGTGCGCACAAATCTAGCCAACGGTTCGGCCTGATCCCGATTAGAGCAGACTGTAGTTGCTGTTACGACACTACGACATCATATCTGTTGCGTTATCGCACCATCATCTAATTTGATTACTCCATTGTGTATTACAGTTTTTGAAAAAAGAATTTTTAGCGCTTTGCTTGAACTACTGACCAGAAGAGATACGTATTGCTTGTAACGTACAGGAAGATCCCTGCTCAGTACGAAGTCGATCTTTTTATCCTTACTCCCAAGGCCCGCGCTTTTCCCAAGTCTGCTTGTTGGCCCTTTCTCGAGAAAGAGCCACTCGTGATGGGATTGAAGACAATAAGACTTTTGCTTCCAGCGCTCATCTGGTTTAAATCACGCTCCGCCCTAAGCGAAGCGGTGCACAAAGGGGTAGGATCCTTAGTGAATATCAGTGAAATGTGAATGAGATTGCTGTGTAGCAGTGACTTTGCGTTATCAAGTGATTCGTATGCGTAAGACGTGCAAACATTAGGTATTGCACGAAAACGCTAGCGGGAAAAGGACCGTTTTCGTTGCCAGAGAAGTGCACAAGAATTTTCCGCCATATCCGATTTTGAGCATTTTGAAATCCACTTCTCTAACATGCTCCCACCGTGGTATCTACTTCATTTGCATCTTTAACTCAATTCGGCACAAGCCTAAGTAATGATGTATGAAGTAATGTATGGCCGGAGCAACGAATTGTATGCGAAGAAACAAATTTGAGGGAAACTTTGACTCCAAATCTGCTACTAAGTTCCTAAAAAATGTGGTAAGAAATACAAACTCACATGACTTCCTGATCATCATTGTCTTGCGATGCTAAACCATTCGCATAGCTTGACTGATTTTTTGGAGGTGTCATCTTATCAATCATCATCGATTCCAAAAGTGCAAAAGCTATCGGTGTCATCAATGCTGCACAAGCTGTGTCTGATATCCACAAAGATCTAAGGAGTCGTGTAATTCGTGTCTTTCCAATAAGCAAAACTAAAGCGGTTTAACTTACACAAACGTCGTTATAATCATGAACCCAGCCAGCAACCTAAAATAAATACTTTTCAAGACCACTTATTTCAAGAACATCTTTACATTTTCCTCTCACCACTGAGGTCTTGCTCCAACAAGAGTAAGCATTTTCAAAGCAAATCGTTTATGCAATTGGCTTTCTTCTACGGCTAATGATAGCATCAAACTGCTGATGAACATCATATTTGTCTCCTGAATGCAATCGTTGAAAAAAATTCTTGGTCATTTCTGCTTCCTGCCCTAGGGAGAGTTTTTCAAAAGATCGCGCACTCAGACATACGGAAAGCTGTCCTTTAGATTGACAACTTTATATCATAACTCGACAAATACTTTGGAAAGAAAAATAAGAGAAGCTTACTATATAACGAAACGTCACCCAGTGATAAATAGTAAGTAATGATTGAATGAGATGGTAATGTTGACCACTTGGTTCTCCAAAGTCAATGAGACATAGTTCATTCTTGACTGACTTACCTAATACAAGGAGGCCGCTACCACTGTCCGCTGACAACTAATCACTCTACCTCCCACTCAGAAAGGGTATATATTTAGGCTGTGCATAAGTTCTGTTCGATTTCTTTTGCCTTATGTTTGAAGGAGCTCCTGGTATAATTCCACTTCTAAATACGATACTTTTGTGATATCGGAAAGTGCTTTTTTTGCTCTTTCTAACACATATCAAATTTCGAGAAGTTCCCCAGTTCTAACGAGATTGCAGGCCTAAGATCCCCTGGCAGCCGAGATACGTTTTCACCTAAGAAGTATGTTCCTGCAAGAAAATCTCCACAATGCGATTTGCAAGTCAAGTCCTTTCGTTGGTTGTGGAATAAGTATGCGCAGACTAGTATATGCACAAGCTCAATTTTAAAAGAAAATGAATGAGTGACTTGTAAAATTTGATTTCGGACATTGATTTTTCGTATAAATATTCTACAAGCTATAACTTTCTGCGAACAGAGGCAATCGATGAGTCCAAAGTTTGAGGTGCTAGAGTAAAAGAGCTAGCAAAGCGCAGCCACAGTTACTTTTCACCCCTTGCGCAAGTGTAAAATCTCTATAATTTTTAAAGTTAGCATAAATACAGGCACTAAAGCAGGGTTGAAAGTTACTTACGGCTTCGTTTTTATTTTTACAAAAAAGTCTCTAGACACCGAAGATTATCTAGGCCATACCCTCGATACATAGAGCCACGTACTCTGTTAACCTTCACTTTGAGGGCTGTGAGGGGACACAACCTTCACCTGGGAAAAAACAGAAGCCATCCGGGGCTTCGCCCCGGACGTTATTATCCTGATTATATTAGAACGAATGTCAATGAAGCAAATATAGGGGATAATCTCTTTAGCTTATCTCAGCGAAACCGAGAATTTGCGTTTTCATAGCCTTTTAACTTAAAAAAGGTTTCTGTGGGATTTTCGCCAGAATTCAAAACGGAATTTCTTAGTTAACCTCTCATCTGAACAAAATCGAGGTTTAGAAGTTTAGGAAAGCCATGGGAGTTAAATAAGAACGAGAAACTGCGCTTGAATCTTGCGCAGAAAGTCGCGCACGAAAACGCTGGTCTACCTCGCTAATGAATGACTTTCAAAGCTTGGAACGTTGTCAGTTCTCCTCGTCGTGTCATGGCGATCAGAATGATATATAATGTTGCAGAGTTTCGTTGAGACCCCGCGGAGATCCACGACCAGAGCCAACTGCCCCGTCGGCTCTGGTCTGTCTCCGCTGCTCGTCTGCGTCTCCGCGCGCTGTGCTCTGCCTCCCTACCCCAATTTGGCTCTGGTACCCTTTTCTTCGCTGTTCCGAACCCAATTTTAGTAAGCTATATATCATTTTGAAGCTCTTGATCTCTATTTTCAGGCTGACAACGTCCCAAAACCACATGTTTTGAATCGATCGAGAAATCCGGCAAAAACCTTGTTTTCGAAAATCTCTTGTTTTTCTTTTAGTTTAAGTATTTTCACACAGTTTTTACGCGCACTCTATAGATCTTGCTTCTGTTCATAATGCAGACAACTACTCAGCCTCTATCCCTTCGATTATTGCGGAATTTTTTGCGAAAAATCGTAAAAGGTGCGTTTTTCCTTACCTTGTTCTGTTCCAGTGCTTTCGCATCGATATTTTTCCAGCTTGAGCGATTGTTGCTCAGAACAATAAGCGCAACGATCCAGACAACGTCCCAGGAAACAGGAACGTCAATGCGGGGGTAAAAATTCAAAGGACGCATCAAAAATCAAAACCCCGTGTTGCGAATTGCTGGTCTTGAAGCGAAAACTTGCACTTCGAAAAGCCGCCAAATGATCTCAAGTCTCACTGCAGCATTTTTTCCGGTTTTCAGCACTTTCTTTTGCTTTTTATAACTGTTTTATGTCATTTTCTCCTCTCTGATCATCTTTAAACAACCTTCACTATTTATGACGTCAGATGTTCAAACAACCTTCACTTTTGACGCCCTGTCTCTAGACTATCGAGGGTATAATCTAGGCACTTTTGTTCTGCAGAATGATCTTCGAAATTTTCTCCGTCTACCCATGGCTACTTAATTTACCTGTCAGTTCTCATAAGGGTGCATTGCCATGTTAAAAATTACAGGAATGAAGAAGAACGATGTGAAGTTTCAATTTCTTGCCTCTTCTTTGACAGGGTTTTTCGCAAGAACTAGTACCTTCTGGTAGATAAAGAATTACTTAACATCGAAAAAGTAGGACATGAAAACAAAGTGTCTTTGAAAAGAGTTATGACATTTTGTATTCGAAGACTCAAATCGGACAGAATTTATGCAGCAGCTTAATACACCCGTTTGCTTCTCATTTCTCTTTCTAACCATAATGTGAATGAGAGGCAGTGTCCGGACAAAAAGTCGATTCTAAGATGTGCTCACCCGGGCCTATTCGTTGCGCTGCATCCGCAGACCCACAGTGGAAGGCGCAAAAAAGGCAAAAAAGCTCCACCGCAGGAGGGAAACTAACAGAGGGGGTGTCTTTCCCACGGTGAGTTTACGCTGCCACGTTCCTGAACAATCTCCTCGATTCTGCTAGCCGCTCTGGCATCGCTACCGGCCAAGTGCGAACGCGTGACTCAAAATCGAAAGCGGGAAGATTGCTCCGGAAGCTGAGAGCGTGAACTTACCGTGGGGAAGACTCTGCCCCTCACTGTATTCCATTCTTGGTTAACACGTTGACGACGGTGTCGCGCAATGGTGCGCGACAGGCAGTCTGTCCCTGTGGACGATGTCGCGCAATGGTGCGCGACACCCTAAACAGCAGTTTTAATGTGCACAATGGTTCCAATTTGTGTTCATATAATCAAGTTAGGCTCGAAAGTATTTCATGTTGGCCCCGCCCCCTTTTTGGCAAACTCCGCCCACTCCACTGCCCTCTACAAAAAACTTTTTTCGTTCTCAAATCGCATAGAAAAGCTCATAGATGACAGGGAAACCTTAAATAATTTTAATTTTGACCCCGCCCCCCGTAATGCAGGCTCCACCCCCTCAGTGGCAAGCTCCGCCCACTTTTCAAAAATGCCGGAATTTGCACGAATTCATTGATTTTGAGCAATTTTCAGCATTTTTTAAAAGTGGGCGGGGCTTGCCAAAAGTGGGCGGAGCTGCCCCGCCCACTTGCATTTGTGTATCTCACGTATAGATGCATGCATACATATGTGCAGCCGGCTGTGAAAATGCCCGGAAACGGTTCGTCCACAGGGACAGACTTTCAAAAAATGGCTCGTCGTCAACGTGTTAAAGGCAGTGTCCGGGCAAAAACTCGATTTTGAGCTTTTATGCTTACTTGGGCCTATTCGCTACGCTAAATCCGAAAATGCACATTGTAGAGCGCGAAAATGGCGAAAAACGGCTCTAACACAGGAGGGAAATGAGCAGGTGGGCGGGGTCCTCCCAACTGCGAATTCACGTTCCCGGCTTCCGGAGCGACCTTCTCGCTCCCGGTTTCAAGTCAATCATTCGCATTTGGCCGGTAGCGATGTTAGAACGGCTAGCGGGATCGAGAAAATCGCTCCGGGAGCTGGGAGCGTGAAATCGCACTGGGGAAAGCCCCGCCCACCTGCTGATTTCCTTCCTATATTAGAGCCCTTTTTCGCCGTTTTTGCGCTTTCCAATGTAGATTTTCGGATTCAGCAGGACGAATAGGCCCGTATAAGCACAAAATCTCAAAATCGAGTTTTTGCCCGGACACTGCCTTTAGAGACCTTTTTTGCCATTTTTGCACTCTCCAGTGTGGATTTTCGGATTCAAGATGGCGAATAGGCCTGTATAAGCACAAAATCTCAAGGTCGAGATTTGCTCTGACACTGCCTTTAACACTGCATTTGGCCGGGCTAGTATAACTTTTTACCCCTTGATCTCTCAAAGCCTCCTTCTCTGAGCCTCCACAGTATAGACAAATTTGAAGTTAGCTCAAGCTAATAATGCCCTCCAAAATAAGGTTTACATCGCTTAAGAATTTAAACCATTTGAAAAATTCTGGACCATTTTGTCTTGATTACAAGTCCACTTTCCAGCCCCAAAACCGTTCATAGCTCAGTGTCCAGAGGCGTTCCGCATTAACTGAAGCTGATTTGCAGTCAGAGTCTGAAGCTTTACAGAATGGGATAGAATTCATTTGAAGAAGGCACTTTGAAAACCCTTTCCTTGTGAATAACGTTTGTTAGGTACGGGAGGAAGTGGTTAGATTCTATCAAGCACAATACTTCGATCATCCGACTGTTATTACTTTGAGATAATATACGATTTCAACAAGTCTTTACTCAAAAAAAAATTTTTTTCCGTAAACTCATGCTTGTTAAAGGTAGCATAGGTCAATAGGATGCGCCGTAGATGGAAGTCCACAGTTGGGTCAGACTGAAGTTTTTTAAAGACAACACATGTAAAATGTAGTAATCTTATTTTGGTACTGGTTTGGAATTTATCAGAGAAACCTAGAATCACGTCATTTTTTTGAGCTCAGCTTGTGAAAATGCTACTTTTTCCTCACCTGTATCATTTAGAAAAGTGTATTTCTTGACGAATGAAGAAAACTCACACTAAGATAAGCTCTTGCAACTTTTTTGATAGGCACCACGCCAAGCATTGGCATAATTACTACAGGCAAAAGTGCTGTCACTGCTAGTGGTACCACTTCAGCTACCCAGTAGCATGACATCACGAGAATACAGTACGCACATTTTCCTTCCTGAAAATATACCAGCAATTTGGCTAAGTCTTATCAAGTAAATATGACTTACTCTTCCAGTGAGCAAGGCCAAAGGAAGTAGTAGTAGCGGTGCCAGAAATATCCATATTGTTTTGAAGTAAGTTCTGAGATCTCTTAGTAAACATTTTACCCAGTGCATTAGGCTTGCAGTGCAGGAAAGTAACTGAGATGGTTGATGTTAGAAAAGGCCAATATGCTGAAATCGCAAGTTTATCAAAATAAGGGAACATTAGATCAGAAAGTGTGTTCAAATAAAGCACTTAAGAACACAAATAAACATCAAAGCGGAAATTTCACGAAACGCATTACATCTGAGTGAGAAGTTTGTCCTTTGACAGTTGGAGAAGGCATATGAAAATGCTCGTCATAGTTGTTTATTTTATTCAAAAGGAAAAGGTAAGACTTCTGTTGTCATTTTCACTATCACACTTGGTTGACTCAAAAATATTTCTTTTTACTTGAGCAAAAGGCAATTGCAAAATAAAAGTCGATCTACAGCGTGTGTCGGAATTATGAACGTTTGATCGTTAATGACTTTCTTGTCATAAAGTTTTGGAGAAGCCTCCGTTATCATATTGTAGAGTTGGGCCTCAACATGGATTTACAGTTTGGAGAGAATCAGCGATCGCTCTTCTTCACTATAGGAGTTTAGTAGAAATTCCAACATTTTAATAAGGTTCAAAAAAATTCCAAGACTTGTGTAAAAGGGTTTTAATTAAAATTGACTTTGATATTCAACTTTGTACAAGGCTGTGAAGCTTTCTAAGCGGTGTAATCACATTTTTGAAAAACATCGAAAAAATGGTTGCTACTGCTTACTGGCATAACTCTATAACAAAGCATTATAACAAGATACAAACTTCATATTTCGAACCACAACTCTAATTATCCTAGTATGAGAGTTTTAGTTTTAGAACTTTGTTTTCTTTCTGAGGCAAAGTATTGCCCTACATGGCTCAAAACCCTCTTAAAAATTCCTACCATAATCTTACAATGAAAAAGCGATGGGTAATTCGTCCCATCCTGTAATTTTAAGTTAAAGCACAAAATGGCAACTAAAATTCACCCCATGAGCTTCATGAAAAGAGAGTTGTTAACGATTGATACAGTACATCTTTATACATCTTTGGAACATCCTGTTTCACATTTTCTTCATTTTTAGACAGCTACGTGCAAATTTCAAAATAACTCGAAAAGTGCGATAGTTTCCAAAGATCCCCTACCCATGAGTACACATAGGAGCCATAAAAGGCAAGTAAACCCTACAAGCAGTTCCCCCTTCAGCTTAATCTTTGTGGATTTTGCATGATCCGATAACTATAGAGTAGCATTGGTGAACCAAACGTAAGTGTCGTAGTTTGAAAGGATTCTCAGCTATGCAAAAAAGTTTGTGAGATATGGCCATGTGAAGGAACAAAGCTATTTTGAATGAACTTATCTCGAGAGTATTTTTCGCTTTCGAACGTGTCATTATTCAGGTAAAATACTATTTACACAATTGTTCTGTTCCCAGAGCTCTTATTTTTGCACTTCTTAGGGAGGGTCATTTAATCAAAGTGACTATTGGGAAGGTGATGTATACCAACGATTAAATTGAAAAAATGATCTCAGGTTTTAAAAGGTCCCTAAAGTTACGGTTCCCTTCTATCAAGTCGTCACTAAAGTTCGTTCACTGTTTTCAAAAATTCATAACTTTCAATTCTTCCAATCCATTTGACTGCTTTTCTTTTTTCATGTAAAAGGGTAAACTATATTTTTTACAATGATATCTTAGCGACTTATAACGGCAATAATCTGTTGCATAGTTAAAAGCGGTAGAAGGAAATTATTCAAATTTTGAATTTTCTGTGTTGAGTCATAAAAAATCTGAAACTTGCAGTAAAAATCGGAGCGGTCAATAACATTGGTTCTATTACCTGATGTTTCTGATTGTGCAAAGTTTGTGCTTATTGAACATTTTTGAGCTATGAATCTCGAGCAAACAAAACAAAATGACAATTTTGAGTTATTTTGGCGTTTCTCTCGAAAATCATAGCTTTTGTTGGGAACGCTCAATCAGCCTAAACTTTGCAGCACTAGAAAGAGCAGGTAATAGGACCTATAATACTAACTGCTCCGATTTTTATTGCATTCAGATTTTCTATGACCCCATACACAAAAAATGAGTATTTTTCTTATGCAGCTCCTATCTATGCAGCAGATGATCATTAGTAAGCCGCTAAGATATCATTATAGAAAACATACTTACTCTTTCACAAAAAAGCAGTCATATCAACTGGAAAAACTTTGAGTTATGAACTTTTGAGAATTGTAGAATGAACTTTTGGGGCGCCTAATATGTCTGCAAGTCTCACATTTATAAAATTTATGAGCTTTTCTTTTGCCCCATTTGTGCATTAGCTCGGTCCGAAAGTTCGCGTTGTTTTTCACACCCATTAAACCGCTTAGAATAAAGTTAGACAAACATATTGTAAGCGTTATCCGATGCAGAATTTCTTCCCTTTTCTAGTGGTTGTGTCTTTGTTCAGAATCCCTTGATATCCGCTCAATAATCGTCAAGGATCTCCATCCCATCATCGTCACCCATCTTCAGTTTGGCTATTTTTTTAAAATTCCATTGTAATTTGGAATAGCTTTGATAATATTAGGTTTAAAATGAGTCTTGAGATACTGTCACTTCTTACGATGGTAAGTCATATATTTCACCCTTCGATAGAGCAAAGCAAGTAACTTCGACCCACCGTAAATTTGCATTCAAAATCTGAGTCGTACTGAAGGCTCAAAAAACCGTGAAAAGTTTATATCTTTGTTCACAAAAATACTACGAATCTCAACTTGCTTATAAAAATTGCACACCACATCAGACGCTCATATGCTCCGTTGCTGTATTTGTTGGTCGTTTAGAAATCGGAACGGAATAAATCAGTGTGTAAAAAATGTTTATACAAAAACGAAGCTATGCTGTTTTCACTCATGCAATTGCATACTACGAGCCCTTACGAGTATAATCGTAAATTTTCAGATTTCCACAGGCCATAGTTTTCGAAAATTACCGAACTTAGCTTTCCTTAATCGGGTGTTTCATGCTGAAATCAAAATTTCTAGATTTTGCGAAAACTTGAAAATTTTTGTTTTCTCGCTTTCTAAAAAAGGAAAAAAATCCAGAAACATACATATGAGTGTCTGATGCTGTGCGAAATTTTCATGAGCAAGCTGGAAATTCGTAGGACTTTTTGAACAAACATATGAATTTTTCGCAATTTTTTGAACCTTCAGTACGACTCAGTTTTTGGATGCAAGCTTCCAGTGGGTCGAAATTGGTGCAAACTTTTGCATACCATCTTGTAGAGCTTGATTTGCTCGATCAAATGGTTCCTAGACTCTTATTGAAAAAGTGAAATATATGGCTTATCGCAGTAAAAAATGAGAGTGTCTCAAGACTTACACAACATAATAGTTGGATAGAATAAACAAAATGCAATACAGTGCTGGACATAATTATAGAGACACTCTAGAAATCGTCGTAATTTTCGTTCTTGTCAGTGAATCTGTCTGAAACTTTGCTGTATGGTGCGCATGTAAGCCTATCATAACTCCTCAGAACGGCTTCCGATTCCGTTGATTTTGAACGGAGAAAAATGGGAAAATTCGAAAAAGCCTGTTTTGCAAGCTGGACATAATTATAAAGACACCTAGCCTTTTTAAACATTATCGCATTCCTTGACTCCCAAATTTTTTTGTAGAGTTAAATCCCAGAATATGAAACTTTTGCAGCACCTAGGACCTGTCATGCTACTCAAGGAAAGATGATCCTTGCATTTTTCGTTTCAAAAGGCATCAGAAGTCTAACTGCGTCAACAAACAGCTGGTTTGAAGAGTTTTCAAGCCCGCGTTCATTTCAAATGACAGTCCTGGGATACACTTAGCCTTTTTGATAGATAAATAAAGAGCGCTTTCGTAAACTCCGCGTAATCGCTGATATTGACAATCAGACTCCAACCTCACCATAGGGTTGTCGCGCTTTTACACCACAAAACTCGATTTTCAAGTTAAAGAAAACGCTGCAATGTAGCCGCAACAATACACGTACAACAATAAACTCGTGTGCCTAGTCAGGAAAAAATTTCAGGGCTGCACATTCTCGTTCAGCCGCAGTTGTCATCCGTTGAGAGTTGAGTCGAGCACCCTGCACAATCATATCCAACTCAAATCAAGAAATCGAACAGGAGACCGCTTGAAACTTCAAAATCTTGCTAATCTCAGCTACCGCGCAAAATGCGACATGAAACAGAGAATAAAATAGTGAGATTTGTGATTATATTGAATCTACTGCTCGCATAGAATCTTCATTGAAAGTATTTCAGATCTAAATGGCAACTGCAGCACTAGAAGAAATTTAAAAGTTGTTGCAAAAGATGCATCTCCATGTAAACAATGTAATAAATCGAGTCCATCACTTCGCGAACATTAGAAAGTGAGTTTTGTGGTGTAAAAGCGCGACAACCCTATAGTGAGGTTGGAGTCTGATTGTCAATATCAGCGATTACGCGGAGTTTACGAAAGCGCTCTTTACCTTATCTATCAAAAAGGCTAAGTGTACTCCAGGAGTGTCATTTGAAATGAATGCGGGCTTGAAAACTCCTCAAACCAGCTGTTTGTTGACGCAGTTTGACTTCTGATGCCTTTGGAAGCGAAAAATGCAAAAATCATCTTTCCTTGAGTAGCATGACAGGTCCTAGGTGCTGCAAAAGTTCCATATTCTGTGATGTAACTCTTCAAAAAAAATTTGGGAGTCAAGGAATGCGATAATGTTTGAAAAGGCCAAGTGTCTTTATAATTATGTCCAGCTTGCAAAACAGGCTTTTTCGAATTTTTCCATTTTTCTCCGTTCGAGATCAACGGGATTGGAAGCCGTTCTGAGGAGTTATGATAGGCTTACATGCGCACTATACAGCAAAGTTCCAGACAGATTCACTGACAAGAACGAAAATTACGACGATTTCTAGAGTGTCTCTATAATTATGTCCAGCACTGTATAATACATTTTTCTGGCATCTCTAGCTGGCTTCTCAAAATTTTTAAAAATATTTTTCTAATGTTATCGAATTCCATCTTTGGGTATCTCAATCCTCACGAGCAATAGAAGACCAGCATTCAAGATGTCTTTCGGTGCAGCTTTTTTTCCTCTC